ACTATGATGCAGATCATCCAAATTTTACTATGTTTTACAACCTCCTATAGATCGGCGGGAAATGTCCTGTGACTGATAATGATGATCTCCACTCTTTTGAGCTAATAAGTAATGACGCGAAATTATTAATATTAACAATGTCATATTAAAAATAAAAATAAAAAATAATTTTTAACGTAACGTGTATCACATGATTTAATCAAAAATTCGATTTTTTACGGATATCGGATGACTCGGTATAGCGGATAATGATAAATTTTCTGGAACAAACATATCCGTTATACCGAGACTCACTGTGTAATGCAACTTATTCTAATACATAGTTTTATAAAGATTATAAACAATTTCATCAGAATTATAACGATCAATAATCGAAAAGAATAGTCATGAGATTGTTGGTGATAACCTGATTGCCGCAAATTACCACGTTTGCGAGTCATAATTGGGCTACTAATAGGATGTTGATTTGGAGGAGTCGGAGGACAGAAATATTATTTATCTGGAATAATAAAGAGTAGCGTGAAAATGCGAAGGTGTGAAAGCGGTGAAAACGTGAAGGCGTGAATTGTAAACGTAAAGCAAAAAATTCTTTTTATAACCATTTCACAATTTGTTAATAGATTATATGTCATATATTTTCTCAAAGTCATGGAGTTTTTAGAAAACGATCTTTTGCAATTTCAGCATTAGATGTCAAAATTTTTAACCCTATATTTAATAACAGTTAATAATCACTTGTAAGTCACTAATAAAGTTATAAAGTACTTGATAACTTGATCATTTTTCAAAATAATTTTAATTCGTATAAGAACAAGTTCTTCAATTCAGTATGCTTATGTAATACAATAAAAAATAATTTAAAAATAAATCAATTGACATCTTGCTATGTTTGATTATACAATGAGGCATGCACCAATGCTAACCAATGCTTGACTGATCCCCTTTAAACTCATTTGATTCAGGTGGCTCAATCTCCTATATTCTGCAAGGACGCTTTCGTCCACCTTTAAACAGTCAAAAGCGAAGGACAGTATATTTATTGAATGCCATTTGAAACAAGATTATGACAAGGAATTAATTATTGATATCATGTGGCATGTTCGACATGACAGTTGCATTGAGCATTTTTTAAAATTGCATTTGGAGGTTACAAAAATAACATCCAATTAGTTGTAAAAAAATGTAGCCAAGTTCCAACAGGTTCTGCTAAATGAAAAAAAAAAATAATAATAATTGAAATTACAGCATTATAGCCAGAAAGACTGGTCTAAATGCATATTTACTTCGTCTAGATAAGGATGAAACTGTTATAATAGCTGACTATAGAGGCCTCGGGTCATTGGTCTGCTGATCCAATACAAAAACATGGTTTACAGCTTCCTCCTTCGATGCCTTATTTTTTACAATAGAAAAAACCCCTTTTGTGGATTGAAGTACTATTTGATAATGGTGCACATTATCATAATAAAGAATTGATGATGATGAATAGTCAATGGTATGATATAGAAATAAAATCATGGGCTTTCTTGGAGCCTGGTGAAGTCAAAACAACTATTATGAGCTTACCACCACATTAATGGCTTAATAATTTCATCACATGGCAATGTTAAATATTTCATTATCATTGATATTATTATTGTTATGATGATCGTGATGTTCTTGTTGACAGTTATTATGGCAATGAAAATAAGAAATAATTAAACCAATAAATAAATAAAAATACAGCTGTTGAAGTCATTAGAATTTGATTTCATACTATAGTGAAACTTGTCTCAGGCCGCAAATAATAATTACTAGAAAAAAAAATTTAACAAATTCAAAATTGTGTATATATAATAAATTTTACCTAATTTTTTTTTCAATAATATTTCTATTTATTTCCAAAATGATTCTAGGACTGTTATTATATTCTCGTTCCAAACAATCATCTCTATTTCAGATAACAAACAACTGCCAGTTTCATTAACTTCACAATCATAAAAATAATCACTTCTGTTCTGAAGAATGAAATGCAGGCCGCATCTAATACAGTGATTTGCTAAATGAGCTGCAAGTCTCCACTTTGAAACTTTTTGGGATAGTGCAAACATTTAGCAGAAAATGACCTTTAGAATTTCTAATAGGCTATATAGTTGGGATTATCTTCAACACTTGAATTATCATTTACAAATTGAAGCTGATTACAGTCTGCCCTTGTTTCAACGAAGTGGCTGGGCATATAAGAAAATCTTATTAACATTCGTTGAAACAAGGTTACTAATCGCGTTTCAACGAATTTTTATGTTTTCATAATGTGTAACAACGTTTTTAAAAATTCGTTGTATCAAAAATTTAATTATACTTCATTGAAACAAGGTTCGTTGAAACAAGGGTTCACTGTATGAGATTTCAATGAAAAAACTTAAATGAACAAGTGAATATGAACTTACTTTAAGAGCACATATAAATTTGTTGATTATTTTTAATTAATTATATTTTCTACTTTTTGTCATATTTTTCGTCCTTTCGTCACATTCACCATTTCGTCAATTTCGCCAGGTGTGATGAAATTAATAACGATTTGACGAAATAATTGCAAAACACTTCATAGAATAAACACAAAAAAGGCATTCCACCATCAACTCTAAACACACTATAATCCTGAATTTTTTGTCTTTTCGCCCAAAAATAAAATGAATGTATTATTTTAATATATATTCAATGTTATATTAATTATGTGGTGATTATACTTATTATAGATTTGGGGATCCATCATGCAAACTATGCACTGTCCTGTTATTGAAAATCAAGCCCGAATTACATGTCCAATAACTTGATTTGACTTTCTGTACAAATTTAGAATCAATCAATCTTAAATAGAAAGTTATTTCGTGAAACTTAAGGTCCAAATTTATAAGGTATAATGCCTATAAAAAATTCATTGATCAATTTTTAAAATAATACTTTGTTCCCGAATTATACATTCAATAATAGATAACACCTATATAAATTCAATCAATCTTAAAATAGATTTGAGATTATATATAAAAGGGCTGGATTCGTGGAACAGAAGCTTCCCATAATCAATGATACTCGTATATAAATACTTGTATTAGAAGATATAAAAATCTTGCATATTAAATTTATTAATCTATTATTATTTCATAAAAAATGAAGAAATTCGTCGTCAAAGAGTGGGCTGAACTTATTTCAGATCCTATTATGGTGAGAGAGCAAGATCAACGTATCTTTAACCATGCTGACTTGCCCGTGGTGAAAGATCAGCTGTCAGTGACATTACGACTGAGACTTATGAAGCATTCCCTTTCCTATGATACTATTTTTCACAAAGGTATGCTTTTTGTAAGAATGGCTTTGGTCAGCAAAATTGAAATTGATTTTTGTCTAACTAGTGCTTTTTTGGCTCAAATGAAATATAAATACATTTAGGTACTGAAGATGTAATCCGCACGCCTGGACTTTGGCTAGGAGGAGATAAATTGCATGCTCGCTTCACAGGGAACTGGGATTGTAATGCAGGAATTGATGAGCTCACTCCCGGACTTTTGTTAAACAAATGGTACCATCTAACTTATACACTTTCTGATTCTGAAAAAAGATTAGATTTCTACATAGACGGTGAGTGGACCAGATACTATAGCATCCAGGATGTTAAAGTGCAAAAGGTTATCTTCAATGATGGACCGCTGTATGTTGGACGTGCTTTCTCTTGGGGTGGGATTAATGGAGAAATTAGGTATGCATTTATAATAACGAAATTAAGCTAAATCACAAAAATATTAAATGACCATTTTATCAAATAGCAATTTTCGTTATTTCAACTGGCGCTTATCCGCTGAAGAAGTGAAGGAAGATTTTTTCGTGAGATACTTTAGAATTTCGCATTGGGAGCTTTTACAATTTGCTCGTTATAACTATTTTATTTTTTCTAAATAATGAATTTCAGAAAAAGCCAATTGTAAAAGGGTCAAAAGTTGCTCTTGTTCATGTGCCTACCAGAAAATATTTATCTACTAAAGGGGTCATAGCGTTTCTCGAACAATATATGGTGTTTATTATTATTTTTTCTCGATTGTTATTTATACTGTAATACTTAACATTGTAAACTAACTTTATTTATAAAATTTAAAAAGGTTATAGGTAATGGTCAGGAAATAGATTTGAAAAATGATGTTTGGACTGTTATTGGAGCATGTGGTACAAGCGAAAGTGCAGGAAGTCCTGTGTACTTTAATACCATTGTTGGATTTAAACATCAGGCGACAGGAGAAAATTTACACTCTCATGGTATGGGTTGTGGGACAACACCAAAATCTAACCATCAGCAAGGTATTTTGAGTTAATATATACATACATATCTATTTTTTGTATATTAAGGTTTACAAACATAAAAATTAAAATTTTTTTATATTTAGTGACCATCTGTAGAGATATAAATCGTGACGATGATTGGCTTATCCGACGTTATAGTCCAAATGCTTTTTATGATGACTCGGGTAGTTTGAGTCATGGTGACATCATCAGTCTTTTCCATATCACAACTGATAAACCAGCACTTTACAGTCATGACATTTTATTAGATGATGGAACCCAAGAAGTTTCTTGTTATGGAAATGGAAATGACGAAAATAATAAGGTACATTAATTTTTCGACTCAAAATGTAATGCATTTACTTATGCACTAATGAACTTTTTTTTTTATTATCATTATAATGCTTTTAGTGGCGTATTGAATTAATTGATTGATAGAAAATCTTGAAAAAATTTCTATCATGTTTATATATATAAAATTTTCTGCTTTTTAAATTTTTTATAATTTTTTTTTTTGTGACATAAATCTGTTCAGGTGTCCTTTGTTTAACTAAATCAAGTATTTGCTGCATGTTTAACGTCAAATTTGATTTTTTTTTGCCTGTGAAAAGAAATCTTTGCACGATGTGACTTCTGAATACCAAGAAACAGAACTTACTCGTGATCTTAAGTTCGAGAAGTTATCAAATCAGCGATGGAAAAATTCTCATACTTATCATTTGCGTTGCAATGCAAACACAAATGAGATTCGTTTACATGCCTAATAATATTTGAATTGCTTCTAGATAATCGCACGCATCTTGATAATCAAATACTGCATTTGTCTCTTGTGTGTTACTATTTATAGTTTTCATCAAGATTCAGATATTATTAATATTGCGCAGGATTTGTAGTAAAGTTAAATTGGGTTGTGTGTCTATTGTTCTTAGATTTGTGTTTGCGAGACACATTATATTCTCAAAGATATCTAACTAGAGTTTTTTTTTGTATGTGAAATTAAAATTCACATATAGTAAACCTTGTCACAGTGTATTGATTGATTACATTGGAGAGGAAATTTTCGCTTCAATGCACTTTTTGTCATCAACTTCAAATGGTGTAAGTTTTCTTTCGCACAATTTATTTTTGCTTATACTTGTTAGGGTTAGAAACATCACTTGATGCTTTTGTCATCAATCATTTTTGTCACATATTGAAATTTTATGTGGCCATTCCATATCAACAGCATTTTGGAATGATATGGGTCAACCATCCTGTCTTCTTGCTTTATGCAACAATAGATGAATTTTAACAGATTGGACAAGCACTATTTGATGGCTACAGTGGTGTGTATCTGATACTTCATGACCAAATCATACAATGTTTTTCTGTGATTGGGCCAGAAATGTCTGCACAAATCACATTAAGTTATATAGGCAAAGCCTATGCATGTGGATCGTTTTGCAGTTTTGAAATTTGTCATGTTCGAAGAAATCTCCCACTTGCGCAATTCACCATCCACAACTTTATTTTGGACATTTGTTAGCCTATTTTAGTAGTGCAGGTAGATGCACAATGGGTGATTAAGGAATATGGAAGACTATCAGGTGTTTCTGGAAGTAGGAAAGGTTTATAAAAGAAAAATAAATGCATTCATTGATCTGCAAGTCAATCTCCTTCCCCAAAAATCAAAAAGATTGATTTTTTCAACACCAACATGCCATATTGAATTCTTTCTTCCCTTCTTGGCATAATCACATCATGATCAAATATAAATAAATATTTTGTCTCATAAAAATAAATAAATCATTATTTTAACCGAAATTTAGATACAATAGCCCAAAAATCATATATACAACAAACAAAATTATTAAATGTGTATATTTGACATCAAAATTTCAAAAAAATCTCAAAGATATGACAATTGTGAGAAACCATTATCTTTACACTATTAAATATAAAAAATTATTTATCTATAATTTCATTTCTCAAAATATTTAATATTACAACTATTGTAGTCAATAAATAAAATAAAATAATAAATAATTTTTAATACATAATAAAATGACAGGATTTAACTTATTCAGGTAATCCATCTGACATTATTAATTCAATCTGTTGAGAGACTAAAAAAATATTTAACATAAGTGGTGGGTAATTAATATTAATATTATAGATTTTAAAATTAATAAAAAATGTAAATAATTACCATTATTATTACCAATAATTATCACTTTATTGGAATTCACAGGTTGGGGAAGGTTTGTAAATTTTAATAACCTGCTAGTATAAACAGCATTTGGATGAATTGTTGCAGTAATTGATGAAGGATCAAACTCTATTTTATCCATTTCACAAAAAACTTTTCTAATTGATCTTAATTCATCCTGCTGTTCATTTGAATATCCACTCAAACTTATATGATACATAGTTGCATCATTCCAAAATTTAATAATCTTATAAATTTCTTCAGTAGTTGGACGTTTATGTGGATTAGCATCCATGCATCTGGATGCTAATTCAATATAGGATTTTGGTGTGTTGTTTGAAAATCCTGGCCTTACACCTTCACATATTTTCATTGCAAGATCTACATCATGTGCCAAATTATTAAAAGGTTGTTGATTAGTTGATACTACAGACATCAAAACTCCAAAACTATATATATCTGATGCTTTTGTATATGGTTCCCCCCTTAAAATTTCTGGTGCAACATATGGTAGTACTCCAAATATATCATTTTTGTTTGATGCAGATGTTTGACTAGCTGAACATGATAATCCTAAATCTATAATACATGCAGTAGGATAAGATATAAGAACATTACCACTATGAAGATCACAATGAATAATTCCTTCTTTATGAATATCTTTTAAACCTTCAATAACACCAACAAGATTATAAATTTTACTACTCCATTTTAAAGTTTTAAAATTTTTAGTTAAATAATTTTGAAGACTTCCACAATCTTTATAATCCATCACAAATACATATTCTTCTGTAATTGGATCTTGTGTTAGTCCATAAACTTTAATTATTTTTGCTTTATTTTGAAGCCTCACATAATTTTTGAACTAAAATAACAAATAAATATTTTAATTACAACAATAATAATCAATAATACTTAAAAAAAAAAAAAAAATCTGAAACTAATATTAATTTACCTCATTAAGAAATTTGTCAGAAATATTCTGTGAATCATGTATTTTTTTTAATGCCACATAATACCTATCCCTAACAATTCTTTTTCCATAGTATACATATTTTTCACCATTTAACCAAACAGCTTTGTATATAGTTGCAGAACCACCTTCGCCTATCTTTTCAATCTTTGTTAAATCATAATAAGAAATCCATTGAAGATAATTACTATTATCATACATAGTTCTTTTAAGTTGTGTGCTTTTAATCAACTCATCTAATGTTTCATTGCCACTAGTCCGTCCTTCAGTTAATGACTCCAGATCACATGATTGACACCATGCCCAATTGGTATTGTATCTATTGCAGGTTGGACATTCCCCAAATTTTTGATTTCTAATATATGAATATTCATCATCATCATTTTTGTCAGCACAAGTATCATCATGATGTTTATTTTCATTTAAAGTGTTCTCCATCTTTAAAAACTTATTTGTGGTTTTTTTTTTTTTATAATTTATATATTTATCTAAAAGGACTTTTTTTCCGGCCACAATTTTATATTAATATAATAATAAGGAGACACGAAATAATATATTTAGTCAACAAATTCTATTAATAATTAACTTATTTGTATCTTCATAAAATAATCATGTAGTTATACGCAATTTTACGCAGCATTATGAGAATATCCAATTTTATTGGTGGGTTGGGTGCATGTTATTCTTTATTTAGAAGTCGATTTGGCGATTGCGGATATTTTTTGTGGATAATAATAACTACATGATACATCTTCATAAAATAAATAGAATATAAATATAATGTCTAATCTTCTTTAACTAATGTAATGACGGCAAGATTTTTATATTCTTATTAACTTAATTGGGAAATTCATTTGGTATAGTTAATTCAATCTAAAACATATTTATCATAAGAGTGGATATTAATAAATGTTATTTTAATAAAAAAATGAAAATAATCAATGATTAATTAAATGGTCACTCACTATATTGGAATTCACAGGTTGGGGAAGGCTTGTAAATTTTTAATATAATATAGTTGCCAAACCGTCTTCACCTGTCTTTTCAATGTTTGTTAAATGGTTTATGTTATTCGTGTATTTTTATCAAGAGTTCAGGTGGTAATGATTTTATTTTGCATTTATTCTAATTAAACAGAAATGAAATTTATAAATAACTAGAGTGATGACAGGTGGCAACAACCACCACCATTCTTATGATAAACACTTACCCATCACTTCTTGTCTCTTTTTGACAAATTTTTTACTCTCAAAGACATTTTTTTAAAAATAAAGTAAAACAACATACTATTATTATTGGCACTTGGTGTTGTACAAAGATTTTTTTTTGTCGGCGTGACCTATTTTTTGGCAGAGCCCAAGATGACAAACGCGGTTTCCTTATTAATACTATATTACTAATATTATCCAATAATATTTCCAGATGAAAAAAATCAAATCACGTTAACAAAAAAAAACCAATAGGATAAGGATAAATAATTAATGTATACACGTCGATCAAACAACAAAAAGACAAGAAAATATCACCAAGTGTTTTAAGAATTGTGGTGGTGGTTATCGCAACTAGTCGTCACTCTAGTTTAAAAATAATAAAAAAATGTCTTTGAGAATAAAAAAGAAAACAAGAAGAGGAAAGAAGAGGAGAAAACGAGGATGTGTTTATCATTTAATTGGATGAACAATTTGATTTTAAATCCTAAGCATCATTAAACTTTTAGTAAAATAATTGAAGAGCAAATAATTTTTTATACTGTATGACTTAAAAGTACAAATATATCTTTTTACAAAGTAACATTTTGTATATATATTAATGTTTGCAAATCTTAATTCAAACAATAAACATAACTTTACCAAATTATTAAGATTTGCTCAATGTACTGTAAGTCAAATCAAAATAAAGATTGTTTGAGGTAACACGAATAGTATAATGTCTACAATTCAGGCAATGATAGAAATACGTTTATTAAATATTTGTTTTTGTTTATTATATATATTCTAATTCTGAATATGGAAAATACAAAAATCCGATCATTTATGGTAAGAAAGACGCAAAATAAAGATGTAAAGATGTAACTTTCAACATTTCAATGATAATCTCCTTTTGGTTTAATTGACCAGTTATTTATTTCTCTCAAATTCAGCATAATCAATAATTAATAAATTTGATAATGAGACCAACTGTGTGTAATTGTTTCTTCTGGAGTTTATTCATGGAAATGTATATGATAAATTGGTATCGCGTGAGCTTTCCTTTTTTTTTTTCTTTTTTCTTTCAAAGTTTAAAAAAAATTATATTTAAAAAGGTCAAAAAAATATTTCAAGGAAATTATTATATTGTTAGGATATTTTGTTTATGATTTATATAATGAAATAAAAGATTTAAGCGATACCATTCAAAAGGTTGAAGAATCGAACGATACATTAGTTCCTCCGGCTTTAACTTTATGTATAGAAAAAGATCTAGAATATTATTTCAGTGTCAAAGTCCACGGTATTGAAACAGGAAATGATCATATAACCAAGTTTGAGTCTAATGATCCAAATTTGACCAAGTATGGACTTAATGTTGCAAAATGTTGGGCACGTAACATAGTAATATATTAATTTGTCCGAATCTTTATTATTATTATTAAAAGTTACTATTATTAACTTCTCTAGATAATGAAATCACTATCAAATATACAAAAAAATCCAAATAACAGAAACGTAGAAGCTATGATATTTACGTATACAAGAGTTTTTAATCTACCAAGTTTTCAATTCATTTTCCGATTCCTTATACTCAATCAAAGCACTTTTTAAACATTTTATTTGAGAAAAACAAAATTCCAGGATGCTGAAATTTTCCAGAGAACGTTCTCTATATATGCTTAGCCTTTGGCAAATATGTTCTTATCGATAGAGATGGTTATATGAGGTAGGATCAAACCCCTGTGTTTAATGAGAAGGCATTTTAGAGCTGAATTGTTTTCTGGGAGCTCTTTTTCCGTCAATTTCAAAGTAGCTTGTTTCCTTTTAGACTATTATACCTTGAATATGCTGTTGAATGTTAGAAAAGTAGCCTCAACATTCTCATCATCCATCAGTCTTGTTACCACGTTCACTGTTCCATTACAGATGATCCAAACTGAAGCGGAGTCATTGGAGAACAAAAAAAGGAGTTTTTGTAAGTGATTCACATTTATTATCGCAGCTCATTGATTCATTTGTTTTAATTGATTGATTGTTGAATATATATATATAAGACTCTGAACGAATCGAATCGAGGCGAATTTTAAAGTGGTTCGAATTCCAAAAAACTTGATTCCTAAATTTCCAACTAATTCTTCTTCACAATTCTAAATTTCTTTTGATGTCATATTAAAAGGCTTCAATATTTGAAAACTAATTTTTTGTTGACAACGTTCATAATATGTCTACAGTTGGTGATAAAAAGACTACTTACAATCTGTGCTCAAAAAGTCACATCCCAATAGTAAGAACACGCTATGTTGATGTGAAAAGGATCAGACATGTATGTAGGTAGATTAGTACATTTTATATATACTTTGAGACATGCTCTCACAATCTCAACTTCCTTACCACCCAATACATGCTAGTCGACAATATATATATATTCTATTTAAAAAAAATCACTTAATAATACGATATAATTTTTTCAAGTTAATTTCAACTTGTTATTATTATTATTCCCGAATACTAATAATCACGTAAACAAAAGAGAAAAACCTCTAGAGGGACTACGTTTTTTTTTGTGTAAATAGTTTTGGATTCATCATGCGACTTTAAAAAACTATGAATATTTTTTTAAAAAATATAAAATTTAAATTTTTTATAGTGGAATAAAATTACAGAAACACAATGTGCAATTATTTAAAGGCGATTTCTCTCCTGACAGAAGACAATATGCACATACAAATTACACATATGAAATTTATGGAAGTCAAGTTCATCTATAATACATGGAATATCTGGCTCATGGTTTTCGAAGCATTTCTAATGTTTCTACGTCCTCTCATTGGTATTTATATCAATAAAATTTGTTTTTCAAGCAAGTCAAATTTATTATTATATTATTATTATTATTATTAATTTTCACTGGAAAACCACCAATAAATTTACTACTAATAAATAATAATGAAGTAATAACAGTAGGAATGATAAATGTTTTCAGGAATTAATATAGAACAAAGCGTTAAATGAATAAGCTGCTGTATAAGCACTCAACTAGCATATGACCATGAACTTATAACAGATGATATAATCGATACAACTCAAGTAAAACCATGATAACTTGGGAAATTGTTCATTTATTAATATTAACTGGATTTGCATCAACATTTTGGTTGGAACATCCACAAAAAAAAATTGGTGCTAATATTCAAATGCAAGGTATTCAATTAATTTAATATTGTTTTATATATAGTAACTAGTTAATTTATAAATTTTATTAATCAAAAAATTGTTTGGTAAATAGTTAAGAAAGATAACCAACAATTAATGGATTGTAAGATAAAAATAGTTAAGAAAGATAGCCAACAATTAATGGATCGTAGATAAAAGTAGCCAAGAAAGATAGTCAACAATTAATGGATCGTAAGATAAAAATAATTAAGAAACATAATCACGATCACATGGATTATGTAAGATCGTTTAACCAAGCAGTGTAGTCACGTACAACAACAATCTGTTAAACAAACCATTACTGAAGTTTTTCTTTTTGCAATATTTCGTTAAAAAATTTTTGGAGAGCACTCTGCAGCTGCAGTTTAAATTTTTTTTTTATACAACGTGATTAAATTCGTGGAACATTGAAATTTTAAAAATCATTACTGAAATTGGATTATTGATTACACCAATTTATTTATTTGAAATTAATATTAAAATTCTCCTTATTATCATCTTCGAAACCATCGGTAATAGTGCCCAATTGATCATCAAATAATTGAAGCTAAAATATAAAAATATTATGGCATTAGCAACATTATTATTTGTAGTTGTTGAATTATTTATCTTCTCCCATAAAAAAAAATAAAATAAAAATAATAATATAATATTACCAATTTATATTTAAATTCTGACTTAACTAACACCATTTTATGCCGAAGTTCTTGAAGAGCTTGACAACATTGATTACTAATTTTTAATTGATTATCTACCATTTTTAATATAGTTAACTGTTATCATTATCTTCATTATATAAAAATAATCATTATATACCACCAAAGAGAGAGCATAAATTTTACCTAATTTTGAGGATAGTTCGGCATTTTCTTTTTCAATTGTATCTAGTTTAGTAATTAATTCATCATTTGTTCTTTGTAATTCTTCTATTTGGTTTGTGTCTTCTTTTTGTTTGTCTAAAAATTCTTGGTGTGTTTCATTTGTAATGTAAAAACCATGTTGTCCATGTGCAGCCTATAATAATATATAAATTTCTTTATATATACACATATATGATTTATTTCAGACCAAAAAGAAATCATTCCTCTTACCGATAAATCTGCTTTAAGACGTTCTATTTGGTATACATATTCTTGAATCAATGCCTTTTTAGTTACACGCTGATTAGCAACCGGCTTATTACGAATATTTTTAGCACGAGTTGCATAATCAAGCGTTGATATCGTTTCCTCAAGACTTGATCTCACCGGAGATATTGTTGCAATAATACATGTTTTGGTTTTACCTCCAAGTGAGTCTTGTAGCAACCTTGTCAGTTTACTCTCTCTTAATAATAAAAATAATAATAAAATAAAAATCATTATTATTAATTAATTATTCCAGCTTAACAATATTTAATTAATTAATATACTGTACCTATATGGAATATGTAGAGAATGTTCATTAAGATTATTTATGCATCTACCAAGCGTTAACAAGCTTTTGTTAATTACTCCAGCTTCTTTTGCATGTTTATTTTCAGCACCTGTACGAGCAATACATTCTGATCCTGCTAAATCAACGAAATTAAATTTACCAACTTTCAACAAATCTTCACCGTCAGGCATTGTTTCTTTAATATGAACTGTAATTGTGAATACTGAGTGTGAACGACTATTAATAATAATAGCATAGCATATATATGTGTGATTATTTCAATTAATTCATATACTAGTTTTTTATATAATTACTAAATTATTATTTGCTAAATACCTTGATTTATCATTATAATTAGTCGAAGCATTTTGTCTTTTAATAGATCCTTGTCTCAAAACATTGATACCTTCAGCAGCATCTTTTAAAGGCACTTCTTCGTGACCGTATAAAACACCTTTATTATTACCATCATCTACAACTTTCAAATTTTGCTGGCCATTATTAGACAAAAGATCTTTCAATTTTTCATTATACAATTCAATGTAGGAAACCTTCACTGAATAATCAGCAGATTCCGATTCCAAAGTTTGAAAAAGACTGCATAAAGAACGTGGGATGACACCGGCATTTGGACTAATAATCATATTGCCATCACTACCATTAACACTATCTCTAATATTCAAATCTCCTTCCATTGTATACGTTTTGCCAGTTGATGTTTGACCATACGCAAACAAAGTACAATTAAACCCATCCAATACTTCATTCAATATTGGGTTAACCACAGAATCAAATATTTTTTGTTGACTTGTTTCTTTCCCAAATACTTTATCAAAAGTATAACATTTACATGGCGGATCTTCGGGTTTTAGGCGTACTTGTACATCACGATATGTAGTCTTTATAATAACTGGAGATTTAATTTTTTCCTCTCTTTCTAACTTTGCTCTTTTTAATTTGAAAAGATTTTTTTTTTTTCAAAGAACAACAAAATATCAAGCAATAATGGTTAAAAAATTATTGTCAAATTGATGTTAATGATTTTATTCTTTGTAAAACTCACCTGCACCTGACTACTACATGAATATTCATTTCTTCGATCTTTCCAACATTATCAAAATTACTTCTCCTTCGTTTTTTTGATCTTTCTGTGCCAACGTAATTACTGTTAACAGAAGTTATTTCCATATTATTTTCTTAACTAACAAAAAAAATTAGATTTGTGTTGGTAATTCCCGATTTAGTATATATTATTTAATTTTTGGATCTTATTTTTTGTTTTGTTTATCAGAAAGCACGTCGATTTTATATAATTTATTGTTACACTTAAATCACATGATTATTCATCATAGTTAAATATATTAATTAATTTTTCTTCCAATCACTTATGTAATGGTTTCACCTAATCTGCTTTACCAATTCTGCTAATTCTGCGGATGTAACTGAATTGATTGTGGAAAATCATATTTACAACTCTCTTGAAATCCATACCACGTGCCATTAATTCAGTAGTTATTAAAAAATTGAATCTGTTTTTTTTTTATAAAAATAAGACTTAATAATTATTCGAATAATAAAAGCAATCATCAAGTGCACGCACATAATGAATTTCATACTTGAGCTTTTGTTCTTTCGGAATGTATAACATCAACATTAATACCATCATATATTAACTCGTGAGCAAATTAAAAAGGCGGGCTTAACATGGCATTTCAATTAACAACATCAAACACGATGTGCTATAATTTCAACAATGGGCTAACCAAGTACAAGCCCCCAGAAGAAATCATCGAGGAGTTTTATAGTGAAATATTGAAACTTTATATTACAAGAGCGGTATGTTATTTGTTAATATTTTATTTTATATGTTGTGAAAATACACATTATATGGCATAGTTGCTAAAAAAGATGATACACATTCTAGTATCTGAACTACCAGTCCATAAATGGACTGAGGATTACAACAAAATTCTTGTTAAACTCGAAAAAAAAACAACATGATTAAGGTCATTTCCAGAGACAATTATACATTGAGATGGTAAATATTGGAATTGAGCTTAGCATTGAGCAAGTGGGAAAGATATGGACTCGACATGGCATTTCAATTAACGACACCTCTGGCAACATCAAACATGATGTGCTATAATTCCAACAATGAGCTGGCCAAGTACAAGTCCCCAGAAAAGATCATTGAGGAGTTTATGTCACAAGAGCGGTATGTTATTTGTTAATATTTTATTTTATATGTTGTGAAGTTTGAAATTTTATAATTAAAAATTTTGGGTGAATGTTTGGATACAAAATTCTGATTGGCTAATTTGAATTTCGTGTGCGTGAATTTAAAATTCACACAGACATCTCCTCAAGATCAATGGATCAATGAACTTGATGAACTCGAAGCTGTATGGAATGAGTTCATCAACATTAATGAAGGAAATGATGATTATGATAATATAGATATCATACAAACATACACAAAAGAATCACTTGCTGATTTAACTAAATCATTGGAAATTGAACACGCACACACATGGAAACTGCTCTTTGACAATTTAAAATGACTCAGGGCTTGGATATTGCATCATTCACATCTTCCTTGAGTACATTAGGATAATCTGACTTGATTCCCTCCTGATGTGATGATGGCACATTTAATTGATTTAACAAACACCAATACAGGTGGTTTTAAGCCTCTCATATCAACTGATAAACTGCTATCAATTTACCCTCTTCTTGCCCAACATAAACAAACTTTTGTTTAAAAGTTTCTGTTGCCACATTCTTTTGAAAATAAAAAAAATTTTCTTCAACATTTTTATTTATTAATAATATTTATATAAATACTTGTTGCTGATAGGATCTTTTTTAACTCCTGATGGCAATGTTGCATTAAATAGTGCCATTTGTAATTTTGGACTTGAACACGCTGCAAATATTTTATCTGTTTGTTCCAAAAATCCAAACTCAAGTAATTTATCTGCTTTATCCAAAATTAAACAGTTAATGCTAAAATAATGATTTTTGAGAAAAAATAAATGTAATTTTTAATAATCATTGTCATCAAACATAAACATACATATTGTATTTTCAAACCAATATTTCATTTTAATATTTTGAGAATTTGGTCAACCAATGAAAAAATTATGATGTAATAAGAATTGGGCCAGATTTTTAGGAATAAGATTATTGGAAAATGAATTCTCATCATGTTTCCAGTATTACATACTAATGAACAAATACATCTGTGAAATGGTTCTTTGTTTTGTTGTAGTTAATAATGTTGGAGTAGCTAATGTCACTTCTGGTAAAAAATGGATATTATCAATGAACAATTAGTAATGATTTCTATGTTTAAATTGATTGGAAATAGACATACTTATTCTATCAGTGCCTTAAAATTCATTATAATTCTTTTGCGCAAAAAGTAAATTAATTAATATAGCAGAAAAAATTGTCAATTTTTAAATGAATGAATAAATAATACATGCGGAAATTAAAAATTATTTGTTGAAATGAGTGTAAGTTATCAAAGAATCATCAATAATCTTGATAATCATATAAAGAAAACTTATTGACTTTAATTTTTTGATGATGTTTGAAAATATTCCATCACTTTCTAATCTAATCTATCTGCATCAAAAGCTAGCTCAAATCTAAAATTGAAAAATAAAAACTGAAAATGAAAAAAATAAACTATTAATAAAAATAAATAGATGATACCTCGTAAATTTTTTTAATAACTTGAATACTTGCATTGGGTTTAATGGTGTGGTATTTCTTTTACGTCATTTTTGATTTTTTTGTAT